TGTTTTATCAGAGTGTATGTGAACGCACCGCTCTGGTAGGAGAGCTCCACCGACTCACAGCCTCCGTAAGGAAAACTCGGCATTGTCAGGGATGGCTGGGCGAGAGACGGCTGGCTACCATCTGTTGGAAAATCAAATAGAAGCAGAAAAGGAGATCATCCAGATTATTACATTTTAAAACACATAAAGCATGTACTGCAAATACACAGGATATTATAGTTAGAGCATGAAGTGACAGCTGATAAGAGTCAGACAAATGTTCAGTTCATCTTTATTAAAGAATGAGCAGATTAAATAATACAGTGAACAAGAACAAATAAAGAAAACATTTAGGAAACCCTCAGAGCAGAGAATATAAACCCCACTGAGAAAATATTGATTCCAGTTTTTTTTCAACTATAAATCCTCTATCAGAGATGTCAGAATCTCAGCATATGTCTTCAGGGATTAGCTGGTTTCTTTCATATCAGGAGATCCAAAATAATTCAGTGTGTTCTTGTCTGCAAATCTGTCCAACAATATCCCCAAAAAAATAGCTTCACAGGTCTATATTCAAGGTAATGAACGACCGATGAAAACAGTTTTTTAAGGCTGATCTGAAAACTTTATTTATAACCAAACAAACAGGGAAGAAATTCAAAGTGTAGGGAAATTTATGAAGCGGGGGGAAGAGTTTAAAGAAGCAGCGGCAGCAGCGGTGGGGGGGCTGGAATTCAAAGAGAAAAACAAGAAAAAGTCAAAATGTCTCAAGATTAAAATCCCATCGGAACAACGTAAAGAGAATAAAATCATAACACTAAGGGGAGTAGCGACCTAGTGGTTAGGGCGTGAAATCCTGAGTTCAAAGCCACACCCCCATGAACTGTCACTCTGGGTCCCTGCACTGCTCCCCGGGCACCGCACAATGGCAGCCCACTGCTTCCCAAGGGGATGGGTTGAATGCAGTTCATTTCATTGTTCTGTACTTGCGATAGTGTGATGACAATTTTGAAAAAAAAAAATAGCTGTAAAAAATGAATAAAGTCTTAATTTTATAAGATTAAAATTGTAATGTTACTAGATTAGGCGCAGCAGAATACAGTCATACGATTACAAAAATAAAATTGTAATACTACCAGAATGAAATCATAATGGGTTAAGGTTACCAAAGTAATGTCATAACATTATGAGGATAAAATTGCAAATTACAAGATTAAAGTTGTATCAGATTAAAGTCATTAAATAAAAAAAAAATTAAGTCATAATATTCAAAGAAAAAAAATAAACATAAGGAGAATAGGATTACATGCTCAGCGGTGCAGTGCTGTGCGCTACTTCCTTGCAGCAAGAAGGTTCAGGGTTCGATTCCCGGTCCGGGGTATTTCTGTATGGAGTTTGCAAGTTCTCCCTGAGCATGTGTGGGTTCTCTCTGGATTTCAAAAAATCACCTAACGCCAAATCTAGCAACTTTTTTCTGCTACTGGAGACTTTGACGACAACATCTAAAAGCAGCGAACTCTGCTCTCCAGAGCAAGTAGATTGGTAACCCCGCCTCCTGCTCTCCTCTATCTTGTCTGCTGTCATGATTCATGCAGCTATTATTTCATCTAAATGAAAAATGGAGAACAGAGAAGCAGATCATGGCTTGTCTACAGAGAAAAGAAGGACTGGGTTATTTACTTTGGCCGTCACTTTTTGGAAACACAGGAAGGAGCAATCAGCTACGTGAGCATCGTTGTGCGCCTACAGGGATAAACTGATCGCTTCTGTCACAGGAATCATATTCAATGTGAACATCATGACAATAAAATATCCTTCATCTGCAGCAGGCTAAACCTACAAGGTATAGGAATCCACTGAAAACAAAGGCAAAAGTTCCTTTTCCTAAATGAAGACATGTTGGTTTGCAGAGCAGACCACCCTATGGCGTCTAGTGTGTTGGAAAACACACGATAAGCTCACCAAGGTCAAATATGCATTAAGCCAGGCATGAAATGAATTCATAGCGGCAGCTCCACAACAGTGACTATGATGGAGAACATCTCAATGCTAATGGGGAGATTTATTGACCCCCACGGGCACAAAAAAATGTGTGAGCATGCAGGTGTGCGGGAGACAAGACAGCGCTGTCGGATGAGCGAGGGAACGTGTGCGTTTGACAATATGAGTCAGGAAAAAATTTTCTACAGCATAAAAGTGTGTGCTGGGAGTTTGTGTGTGGGAATGAAGGCCAGACTGTGCGTGTATTAATGCAGTCCTTCATGCTTGGTGAAGGGTGTGTGTTATAAAGTTCCTACTTCCTACCCCCTGACTTTATGAAGACTTAGTTATGGATGACTTCGGCTCCGAGTGTTCCTTTATTATTTCTTAATTTCTTCCCACTGTTCCCACTAAAGCAGCACAACTGTGCGTATTAAACTGTATGTTTTATGCAAATCAATAACGATTATGACCCTTTAAGCCAGAAAACAGGCTTAAGGTCTGGTTATCCTCCCACAGCAGTGTGTCACAGTGAGCTTTTTGCAGATATTTTTGATTTATACCCAGTATTAAGGCATAGTCTACGCTATGTTATTCGACGCCACAACGCAAGAGGGATAATCAGGAACTCCCTGTGGGTCTATATACGGCCGAGAAGGTGAGGAAGTGGGGGCAAGTTAGTGCGACAACGGAGGGACATGAGGGCCAAAAAGAGCGGGGATCCAGGTGGAAAACAGGGTCCGGTTCTTCCGCACTTCGCTCATCTAGCTGGTCCACATTCACGAGTTGTTTTCCAAAATGGCGCTCATACAAACCAAACAAGCCGGTAAGGTACCAAACAGGAAATACGTATAATGTAAAGTGGATGTAGATTTGACCAATCAGAGGCCTCCTGTCTGCGGTCAGCTACAATTATGGAGCGGTGGACCCAGAGTGTCTGCAGAGGTCGGGGGCATGTCTGCATTAACTTCGACACACACCAGAACTAAACATGGAGATGCAGCTTTAAAAGGGTGATAGAATGATTCTATAGGGCAGTGGTCTCCAACCCTGGTCCTCAAGATCTACTATCCTACAGATTTTAGATGCATCCCTGCTTCAACACAGCTGAATCAAATGAATGGCTTGAAAAGGTAATCAATCATTTGATTCAGCTGTGTTGAAGCAGGGATGCATCTAAAATCTGTAGGATAGTAGATCTTGAGGACCAGGGTTGGAGACCACTGCTATAGGGTATTTGGTCCTTAAGGTCTCTGAATAGGGTGTGTAACATTGGTTGGGCTGAAAATGTCATATTTGCTGTTCTATTTGCCATAATGGAAGCCTGGTTAAAAGCTCCAGAATGAAACTACTCCTTTTATGGAATGCTCATCAATATTTAAATGAGCTGTGCGCTGATTGGTCAGTTTACAACGAGTGAAGCTGCTGAGCAAAGACGCATCATAGCAACAAGCACTCACTCACTGAAACATCAGATTGTTGATATGGTAGGGTGACCAGACGTCCTCTTTTTCCCGGACATGTCCTACTTTTCATGCCTAAGAAAATGTCCTTGGGGAATTTCAAAATCGTCCGGGATTTTGGTCGACTACAGTGCGGCATGTAGTCGAAACACTCCGGAGGCTCGAACTGATCCGTTAGCTCCATGGCTGGTCCGGGAACTCCGGCAGGGAGCCAGCAGCAGGCGGAACGACCAAACCCGACCAGGTGACGGTAGCCTGGCACCCGCGGCCTCGTGCTTCACTCCGCCTGCCTTACCAGCCCCAAGAGCCCCTCCTACCGGCTGAGGATGGCGGCTTATGGCTCTCTACTGAGGTCTGGTCCAGTCAGTGGCCCAGCAGTTGACACTCCATACTCCCCCCCTCCCTTGAACCAGGGAACCAGTGGGCTGGTCTGTATGTCAATTTCAGGGCATGACAAAAGTACAGGCCAGAACAAAATAAGGCAACATCCCTGAGTTTACGTCAACTCGGGGCTTCGTTTGGATTGGCCTGTTTTAAGGTGGAAGTTTAGAATTGTGAGATTTGCAGAAAAAGGAGGTGTTGATGGGGTTTGAACTTCTCTGTACGTCCATTTCACCCACTGAACTATCGTTATACATCTATAACAATGTAAACTTGGTTTTGCGTTCTATCACCCCTTTAGTTCTTCTGCTCCACTAATCTGGAATAAACTCACAGAAAACTGAGAGCTGAAACTCTGAGTTGCTTTAAATCCAGGTGGTGTTTGCATCAGTTTTGCATTTTCTGTACGTTTATATATCTGCAGAGCGTTTGCACCTTCAGTGTCACTCTGTGATGTCAACGTTAAAGCTACAGTGTGTAATTTTCAGCGACATCTAACGTCCAGACTGCAGACCGCAGCAACATGAA